TTATTATTTTATAATTTCATCTTGTTTTTATTACAACAGTTTTACAATTAATGTATTTCATTTCAGAATACAGCAACATGTAATAAAGTGACATTGTAGAAATAAAATGTGACTTAAAATAAAAGTGTCAATGGAAAATGTACTATTATGAATCGAAACAGACTTGAAATGGTTATTAACAATATATAAATATCCATGGTAAAAGAAGCTCCAATAAAACATTCAAATGAAATGAATTACTATTGCACACATAATGGCTCTGAACGGTTATGTTTCACTGTGATGATTAGCTGCTATAGGGTGCCACAACAAATGCTATTAAACATACCTCTGAATGACATTGATCAGATTTTAAGCAGATGTTGGATTGCCCTCTAGTGGCTCTAGCTCCACCACATGTTGATAGAAATGTTACACCCTCGTTCTGTCCCCCCCTCAGCCTGGCTCCCTGCCCCTGCTCTCTTCGGGACTGCCATTGACACGTCGTGTATCTGGTGGAAGCGTGTGTGTGGAAGGAAGTTTAGCTGTGGTTACTATGACAACAACATCTTGAGGAACCGGTACGAAAACCTATCACTCTGAACATACATCACATACACAAATGCAGTGCAACACACCTTACAAAACACCTTAGAGGCAAGAAAAAACATTAGTGTGATCTTAGTCTGATTTTGACTGACTTAAGGACAGGCGAAAAAACTAAATTATTGGGCAAGTTCCAAAAATGTTCATTTTGGAAATGGGTTGAAAAAAGAAAAAAAGAGAATTCCCAGGAAACAATATTTGTACATCTATAAAAATGGTTAGAAACAAGTGTTTGTTCTTACAATACTCATATTACCTAAAAAGGCTGAAGTGCACCAATACCCCTTCTACAAAGGGAATCAAAAAACGTGTTTTATACCAGGTCAGTTCAAATGTCTTCATGCAGAGGGATATTGCACGTTATGCAAGTTATGTAACATAACTGTGATGTATTTTTCTATGCTTTAAATGTATTTGAATTGGCTAATCTGACACTTTTAGTCCTATTTAGAACATGGGGCAGTGTTGCATTTGAGTTTGTTATGGCAAATCTTTTTCCACGTGTTTTTACAAATGTTTTTTAAGTCATAAACACAGGAGAGAAAACTATTTCTTGAAATGATTCTACATTTTTTCCTCTCAGGGCTTCCATAACATCCACATCACTGCTGACATGTATATGTATGTGTTGACCCCTGCAGGTACTTGGGCTTACAGGTGGGTTATAAGGTGATGGGGATCTTGCTGCTGATGATGCTGGGCTGGAAGGCGAAGAGGACTCAGGAGTACAGTCTGGAGAAGAGGCCTGACGGACCCCTGTGACCCTGTGAGCGTCCCTGTGGACCCCCGCCTCTGTCTCTAACAGCTCTGCAGCAGTGTGACATGTTGAGGAACAATGTGCAGAGCAGAGCTGCGTCAGGAGAGCCACAGCCCACACAGACCTGCACTGACCTCCACTCCTGAACCCCCCCCCCCACCTGCTGCTTCACTGGGTGGAGTTGATGTCAGATCTATCCAAAAGGGAAAACGTATAATGTTTTCAGATGCTTTAGATCAGAGGTTCTCAAATGTCTTTCAGCCAGAGTAGTAAAAAGAAAGAGAATATAAAGGGACGCCGTCATGTACGTACTTTTAGGACAATTTGACGTAGCCTATTCTTTGAAGTTTTAGTTATTGGAAAGAATTACACGAGAAATATATAAGAAAGATACGAGACATATATTAAAAATATATACAGCATGTTCAACAATGCATTGACATAAATTCAATAAGCTGCAAGTGTGTACCTAAACACATTATCAGAAGAGAAAAAGGAACATTTGAAGTGCAGTTCAGGACATCAAATATTTTGTTAGAAAATGATCATTTAAATGAATGAATCTGAAAACCTTTACCACAGTGCCACAGATCACTTCTTTAAACTTCCTGATTGGAAATACTCTGACAATCTGACTCACTTATTTCCAGTTCAGAGAGGACAGCTGCTCACCTGTGGTACCTCAGTATATTGTACATGCATCTGAGACAGCGCAGAGAGTTAACCACAGATAGATCATTGTATGTATTATTCCTGTAAGGTAGAATCTATTCAAGTTTCTATTTCCAATGGGAACATATTGTGTAACTAATGAACTGTATTAGCTTAATATTTAAGTTTATTTTTTTATAGATGTTTGTCTCATACACTGAGACATATGTGTACTGCAATACTCATTTGATATATGATCATATACACTTTATTTTAAATGCAATGCCAATGAATTTTCAAATATCATGACATACACTGTTTATTAAAAAAAAATACCTCACACGTAACACACATTTACTTCAGTAGTTTGCCGCATGTCAGTTGGGTTTGGAATTTAAATTAATTTAATGTCTACCAAGCTGGGTCCTGCATTTAAAAAAAATATATATTGTGTTCATACTGTGTCTTTTAGAGGGGCCATGTGTCAAAATCTAGTTATAATAACTTTGCAGGTTAGGTAAGTAATATATGATCAACCATTAGTAAACTGACACACTGGAAATCTAGCGATAAGTAGTTTTGTTAGGATTAGTCCTGAGTCACTAATGAAGCTGCATATGTGTAGTCTGCTGTGAACACTAATGTAAACTTGGAGCCATTCAATGCAACAAGAGCATATAATGCACTTCCTACAGTCATGTGACATGTTTCACATTAGCCAGCAATATAAATAGCTTGATGGATTGAGTACCTTACTTATCCCATATGGACATTTCCTAATAACAGTAAATGCATACAAAATAAATAAAATATAAACTAAGTGGAAAATAAACAAAATAGGTGTGGAATATATAGTAAGTACTAAACATTTTTTATATAAACTATAAGTGGCTTAATATCTGGACTGCATTCATTTATATAACTATATATTAAAAAATCTAGGTAACAACTAAAATTGTGTCATCAGTGTTGAGATCTCCATATTAGGTTGAATACTTAAAACGAAAGTTAATTATAATCAATTATATTCTTGTATAACCCACAATGAAAATGCTTCATATTTTTATGATTTTCTATATTTACAGTATAAACAAAACACAAGTGGTTTGTTAAGTTGAGTGTAAGGCCTATTATGGTTTATGGGTGTCACTGATAAGAGAGGAGAGACAGTTTCTTCCCTCTCCCCTCACCACAGTACACAGGGAGGGGGGCTCCTGACTTTTTGGAGAAATACTAAGGCCCCAAAAATGTGTTTATGCCATAGCCGAGAATAATATTTTGCAAGTCCTGCACACTAGAGGCCATGCCCAGTTTCCACAAATATGGGTATGGAGGAGGTGTCTTTAGGTTTTTCTGTCCTGTTTTGAGGATAAAAACAATAGCAGAGAGGGAGCAAACTCGAGAGGGGGGGGTTTTCCCCCTGGTATGCTCTCTCCCGGTATGCTCTCTCCCTGGAGAGCTGGGTTTTTCCTCGGTAAAGGTTCTCTCAAACTTGGTAAATATCTCTCGAATTTCTTTGTTGAAAGCTGAATGAATTGTTTGTTGAAAGATTATAACCCGGCCACCTATGAGGATGGTCCTCTGAATTCATGCCGGACATAGGTGTGTATAAGAATTGGTTTGTTGAATGAAAGTTTGAAACTGTTAGATCCTATTGACCATTTTTGAGGAGGTGCCTCTGAATGCTGTCGGACTCTTGTATAGCACCTTCAATCCGTGAGGAGATTCCTTTGGATTATGTCGGAAGACTTTAATGTCTAAATTAAATCGGGTTTATTGAAAGCTGAGTGAATTGTTGGATGAAAGTTTGAAACTGTTAGATTCCACTGACCATTTACGAGGAACCGCCTCTGAATTTTGTCAAGCTATAGGTGTGAATGTTTAGACCCGGCGATCCGTGAGGAGATTCCTTTGGATTATGTCGGAAGACTTTAATGTCAAAACTATGAATTAAGGTTTCAGATTAGAAAATGGCCACAGCATGACATGTTTTATATTACTGTCATATTGTAACAAGAGAAGGTAAAACCCTGTTCAAGTGTGGACACATTTTTCTTCAAATAAACTGATCCCACCTTTTGGATTGGGACAATTTAAAAGACATCTGCGCTATCCTCTCCTGCTTAAAGGTAAGACATGCACACTGCCACACTCACACTTAGGTAGGGCCACACCTCATTACTGATATCAAAATCCTTCGGGATCGATTAAACAGATTTAGTGGGTCGTCTGAATTCAAACAGCAGTTAATTGAACCTGGTTCTTCAGGAGTTAATAGAGGTGAGATCTTGCTGACGTTGGTGGATCTGAGCCAAGCAGTAAACTTACAAAGACTCAATAACTTCTGTTAGGTCAATTAGTAGGTCTGAGTAATTTGCCGGAATAAATTATCAGGCCTCCCGAGTCCCAAGACAGGGTGATTGTAGCTTGGACCTGGAATATACAAATCTTTGATACAAAGCCTGAAAACTAACTTTATGGGAGTGCAATACTACATCACTAAAGTAGCCTTTTAAGTAGACTAAAGTAAAATATAAGCTTGACACACCCAAATGTGATGATGCCAAGTTATGTATTCATATTTTGAGTTGAACCAAGAGAAGACGTTATTCTAAATACTTGAACTTGGGACCCCGCTGCAAGTTGAATTATTATTTTAATTACACAGCCAGGCATATATCACACGAAACAAAAACATTATAAAACATACAGATATAGGTTAATCATGGAAGAAAGAAGTTTCACAAAATACTACATTTTGTTATTGCTAACTTTAAATGTATGAACATGTTTTTCTTGCCAATATCATGATAAAATGTATAATAAAAAATATGTGTTACTTTCTAGGTTTTTTTAAACCAGGCACCACATTTTCCTCACTTTCTCCACTGACTCACATGACGTCATTTTATATCACGGCTGTCAGTTTAACAGAGAACGAGGAGAGGCCGCGCATGCGCAGGCGACCTTTGGTGAGAGGAAAAAAGGAATACGTCACGACCCGGTGCAGCAGCAGTGTGTGTTCCCATCACGAAGAGAGCGCGACGTTGAACGGAAAGCAACATCACCGCCTTTTCTACCAGGCATCTTCACCAACCAACACCGAACTCGACTGGAAACACACACAAGTATACTCAGACTGTCCTCCAGAGTTCCCCCAGCTCCTTCTCAAAATGTCCGTGGGCAGTGACTTTGGAAACCCTTTAAGAAAATTCAAACTGGTCTTTCTGGGGGAGCAGAGTGGTAAGACATGTTTCCTTCTCTACTGAAGTTCATTTCTGCTATAGTGTGCCAGTGAACCCGCTGCACCTGCTGCCAGCGGGTTACAGAGGAAACGGCCCGTCTACATAGCTCTGCGGCGGGTATACGTCTCTTTTTAGTTTAAATTGAAGTGTATTCACCGGTGAATCTGTGTTTTCAGTGTGTGACAGTGGGAGTGGGAGGGCAGGGCATTCTTTTAATCAAATTAGCAGCCTGTAAGGCTCCACACAATGGACCGGAGTGTGTGAATTGAAGCCTACGGTCTGGACGTTTAACAGGAAAACATAGGCTGTAAAACGGCTTAAATGTACGCGTTTTAAAGCGTTTAAGGTGGCCAGTAGTTTAAAACATTAGGATGATATATAAGGGTAAAGGGTTTATACAATTGCATAATGCTCGGTTAATGAATGTGCTTGTGTGGGTTGTGATGCTGTGGATGACACAGTAAGTTGGTAAATATTTATGTTGTTCAGACACACCCAGGTTGTCAGTGGCGATGAGATAACTTGTGTCTGCAGTCTGCTGCTGAGGCTGGCCAAGTTCATGTTCTTACATGAGGACATGTTCTAATCATTATTGTATGGGTATACACTCTCTGCATGATACACAATTAGACATGATTGTGACATAGATATGATTTAGAATAATCTCTGATCTGTCTTTATCTGTGCCTCCATCTCGAGCTTTACTCACCCACACCCCCAGATATACTCTCCTTATTCAAGCTTCGATGTGTCAACACAATTGTTTTCCACAAGATTACTGGCTGGGACATGATTTAAATCTTTAGGTTCACGTTATCTTTTGGACAGGGCAAGTATGTTTTATGTAACTATTATCTAATTCAGAGGAGCAAAATGAACCACATTGTTCACGATTCAGTCCTTCTGTATTGATCATCCAGTATAAGGCCATGCATGTATCGTATATTGTTCTTTTTACAGCCTAACATACTATATCTGATATTTTGGTAATATCGGATATATTTTCTTTAATATTATGTACAACCAAGCATTGGCTTTACGGAGAACACATACTGACAAAGAATGATGCCCTGTGTTTTTCATGGTTAAGTAAAAAAAAAAGAGATTATTAATTAATCATCATTTTTGTCAAAAATTGCAATTATTCTCTGGTTCAGTGCATTAAGGAGTTTTTACATTTAAAAAAACGATCAAGATGTTAAAGATGACTCTTTGTTAAACTCATCACTTTCCCCTCTGACTTTCTCACAGTACACTAATATCTAAATGAAAGAGTCTGAATGTTTTTGATGGTAAATCATTGTTCAATTAGAAAGATAGATAGATAAAGTATTAAAAATGATTATAGGTTTTCAGAATTGAATCGTATTGATGAAATCTCCAGCGCGGTAAAATGAATGAGTCTATGTTTTGTATGTGTGAATCATAGACTGGTGTGAATGTGTATGTTTGTTTTGTAAAGCTTCAATTCATTTGTTTGAATACAAAGAACTCATTGATGATCATTTAGATGCTGTATGAGCTTCTGTAGTAGCATCAGAGCTGCAGGTTAGACAGGTTTAGAATGCTTTCAGGTTTACTGCAGCTTCCTTTCTTTTGATCTCTTTGAAATTGGTTCATTTGTTCTGTGCAGTATGTCAGCAGTACTGTACACTATTTTGAAATCTAAAATAATTACCAATATGTGTGTGACATGTACAAACAGAAATTGGTTATAACTGACATTAGGCCTGAATTACTGTATGAATGAAGAACTTTTTTCCTTAATGAATGATTCTTCATCATAAGCAGTGTAGGACATTTAGTCATTTCAATTCCATAAAATGCAGATTCCTTTTAGTCTTTGTTATAGCTTGAACTCAATTGCTCATTCAAAACTTTTTTTGACTGGCAAAGGAAAACTGATGAGGACATGTATTAGTGTTTCCGTCCATCTATGTGTCAATGTGTAATATTCCTTTAACGATCCCAGGTCGCAGAATGAGCTTCTTCCATCATTTGGGCTGACATTACCCACTGCATGGTAATAATAATTATGGTAACAGCTGTAAAGTTTTATCAGCAATCAAAAACCTTTGGCCTAATATGATGTTGGAGGTTCGTAGATACAGTAGTTGGCCTAATTCTGTGGCATCATTGGTAAAAATTGCTTGATCTGTGAAGCAGTAATGGGTCCCCCCAGTCTGCGATCGGGGGACTTTATTTGTCAACCAGTGCTTAACCAGACAGTGGCAGCGGCCGGCTCACTTGTGATTGTCTCTTCTCCGGTGGAGCAGACATGTCTCGTCTGCCATAATTGCAGCTGGTGTTCAGGCGGGCGTGAATCCCGTCAGCCCTGCCACCATCATTTATTAATGTACACGACTGGACTCAAGGATGTCAGGGACGGGGGCATGAGTACAGAGGCTGCCAGGAAAAGGCCACTTGTTCTTTCTGGGTTGATAGTTCCTGTGTACAGTGAAGGTGGAAGTGTCTGAAAAATATTCAGACACTTCCACCATCATGGTAAAGGGAAAGATGGCATGATGTTCTGTTTTTAATAAAATGATTGTCACAGAGGTGGGGGCTCCACATTAAGTGGGTGGAAGCAGGCAGAATGTTAAATGAGCTGTCAGGAAGTCTCTCCTCCTACGTACTTCTCAGGGTTTTTTTCGACACTGTCTGTACAAAGCAGTCTGGCTAAAGATTTCCTTTACAAAGCTGAAGGCTTTAAGCAGGCCAATCAGCTGATTCCAAGCCTGTGTGCCCACTCTCCTGACGGAAACAGCCTTTTGAAAGTTTCAGTCTGAGAGCTATCAACCAGGACACTGTTGGAACGTCTTTAGATTACTGCTTTGCATTTACGGGAGAGCAATTGTCATAGATGTGTTGCTACAGGCATGTTTTCAAAGGGAGCAGTATTAGTATATAGTATAGTAAAAGCTAATTGTTTGGAGGTAATCCTCTGCTACAAGCCTCATTTCACCTCAGATACAAAAATGGGGATACATTTGGTAAGTGCATCCGCATGGCTGCCATAGGATTCTGCTCAGTGAATCAAAATGCCATCTTCCATCTTTCACTGCACAGAGATTGCCATCGCACAAACTAGAGCTGGCTTCAAAATACTGCTGAATCACCGGACCGATATGCTTCACTGTAGAGCTGGGTTTGTTGTTTAACGCATCAATCACAGCGTCTCAAGGGAACAGCTTTCTGAGCAAATGAAACTGAGTTTTGGCTTGCTCTGGCAGAGAGCAGCCGACACATCTCCTCAGTGAGGCTGTGAAACCAAAGATAAATAGACTGCATACTTACCCACATATGCACACATCACTAACCTGCATTTTTTTGTATACAGAGAAACAGAAGCCAGGTCACATATCTGTCTGGATTGGTATCACCACTAAAAACTGGAATGTAAATTACAGTTAAGTATAAGTGTAGCTAAATAATGTTTACAGTCTATAATAGATGTATTTCCATCTATGTTACACCAATGGTTTATAGTTTAATCCATAAACTGCTTACGGGATTAATGTATGTGGAGTAGGGCTGCCCTCGACTAAAGATTTAAAAAATCGTCAATTTAGGTGATTAGTCGACTAATCGTTGCACGTATATGATATATTCATATTATTTATTTTTATAAAATGGTTTCAGTTTCAAGGGGCTGATAAAGAACGTTATAATAACAGCATGGTACGTTGTGCGTCACATAAAATCAAAAATCAAACTGTAATAATGAACCTTTGAAATATAAATTAAATGTTACACGTACACTGAAAAAAATGGGGAGTAAGATTTACTTCATCTCGGTAATAATTTGCACTCAGAAAACCTAAGTAGATTTTACACCGTATATTTCAAGTAAACTTTACTTACAGTTAAGAAGTGTCTATAACTAAAGGTACTCGCATAAACTTTACTGTCAATTGTCTGTCTTTGTTAGTAACTGTTACTCACTATTCCATAGTCATTTCTACTTGCAGTACCTTTGCTCCTAATTACAAATCTCCAGTCAAAATGTGTGGCTTTTCAGGTTGTTTTTACTTACTATTCTTTACTTTTATTGCAAAAATATTTAAGTAATATTTACATGTAATTTCTTCTACCTTTAACATCACAGCTCTATATGCATTAGTTTTAAAAAATAAGCTTATTTTTACACAATCTTACATTAAGGCTACTACAAAACATGAAACAACAAACACTTTTAAACATAAACTTTATTTCCTCATGGTTTAAGCAACAGCTTACAAAACGTTCAATATATAAATATAAATATATATATATATATATATATATATATATATTAGGGCTGTGCGATTATGGCATAATAATAATAATCACGATTATTTGGGTCAATAATTGACATCACGATTATTCATTGACTTTGAAAACATCAATTTATTGAACTTTAAAAAAAATACAAATAATCATTTGAACAGTATCTTATAACTGTTGATTACCCTGAACGTATAATTCAACTGAAAAACCAATAAATAAAATAAATGATACATTTATATTTACATTTAAATAAATAATATCAAAATAATAAATACTAATAAACAAGATCAACAAATATTTTGGAGCGCACTTCAACAAGCTAATAAACATATATAAATATGATAAATACAAATAAATTAGATCAAATATGTTGCAGTGCACTGTCACAACCTAGCAAAGCAAAATAATCGTTTTTTCCGATTATGTTGTTTTCGTAATTGTGGCAGGCCAAAATCGTAATTGCGATTAAAATACGATTAATTGCACAGCCCTAATATATATATATATATATAAAAATGTTAAAGTACAAAATTGTGAATACATTTTTCTAATTAAATAAAAACATGTTACTATATTTTTAGCTGACAATTGTTTGTCTTACTCAAAAAGCAGTTTTTGTGTAAACCTTTAATCCAACATTTTTAACTATGAACTAACTAAATGAACTGAAGTTAAAATAACAATATTTATAGTTACAGTAGAGAAGAAGTACACAGTGCTATGAATAAA